ATATTTAATTTTATTTTTAAGTTAAGTAGTAATTTCATATTTATTTTTTATATTTAAATTATTATATACATATGTAATTTTTTACTTTAATTATTACGTCATCGGTTTGACCATTAGTCCAACTCGGTTGGACCATGTGAACTGTAAATTGCTAACCTTTCCGGTTCAATATCCGGTCTGGTTCTGAAAAAATTTGAAATGCTTTTAAAGTAAGAGAAAAATTACACAAAAATAAAAATATGTGATATTTTTTTCTTCTTTCTATTTTCCCTTTTCATTTGTCCCTCCTGCTTTAAAATATTATTCTGTCTACCATACATAGTGGCTGGTCATCGTTTTAAAGCATGTCTCCTTTATACGCTTAATATGGTTTATTGTGGCTGGTTATACTATGCATAGTGATGAGCTGCTAGATTTTGAGGTAATTGCAGCTTGATTTGGTGCTAATCACCATTATTCTGTCAGACGCACACCAACAACGATATATGTTCGCGAATCACATGCTGAAAAGAAGGGTAAAATCCAAGATGTGCCTTATGAAATTTTGAATGTACTTGAATTTAACAGGTAATCATTCTTCCCTCTAAATGTCATGTAATTCTAAGGTTTCAACAATAATTTCTGAGATTGCTTTGTAATCCCTGTTCCCTTGATAGTACAAGGAAGCGCCAGTCTGTTATATGCCGTTATGCAGATGGGAAGCTTGTATTATACTGTAAGGTAAGAGTTTCTTGAAGCTTTTTTACAAGACTTAAATCGTTTGGCTGTTGGCTAAGAAGATAACATCTTCCCAGGAACTTAAATTTCACAGGGTGCTGATACAGTGATCTTCGAGAGATTGGCCAATGGTGCTGATGACATAAAGAAATTGACCAGGGAGTATTTGGAACAATTTGGAGCTGCTGGGTTACGTACATTATGCCTGGCCTACAAAGAATTACACCCTCATGTATATGAAAGTTGGAATGAGAAGTTCATCCAAGCCAAGTCATCTCTAAGTGATCGTGACAAGAAGTTGGATGAGGTATATTTTGACAAAACTATTGTTTTGATGATTGATTGGGAAATTTCTCGATTTTATTAGCTGGTTGTCTTTAAATTGGTCAAATATTTGCCAATGTAATTTATTATACGAATCAACTACAAGGCATCACAGTTAACAGTTTGGCATGAAAATTACACGTCTAACAAGCTAGTTAATCAAAGTTGCTTCTAAGTATAAAATGATCTGCATCCCATGAGGGTTGAGGGATTTGTGAGTTGTATATAAGGGATAAAATTTAGGCTTTGCATTTATGGTTGATATGCCTGAAAAGGCTTAAATCATGTAGATTAAAAAGAGACAACTGTCGTATTCGTATCTATCTTATTAGGTTTGGCTCTTAGCCCATGTATTTGTAACTAATATGTTTTGCAGAAGGCTTCCTTTCTGGAACCATCTTAAGAAACTAGTAATAATGTTGTCATAGAATAAGTCAACAACTATTCCCTAAATATCAAGTTACCAGAAAAAGCTTTATTATAGAATATTCAGATGAAAATTTATCCTCACTGATACCATTAGAAATAAAACAGGTGGCAGAACTTATAGAAACTGATCTGATTTTGATTGGTAGCACTGCCATAGAGGACAAGCTTCAAGAGGGAGTTCCAGCATGTATAGAGACTCTCCAAAGAGCTGGCATTAAAATTTGGGTGCTTACTGGAGACAAGATTGAAACAGCTATAAATATAGCCTATGGTGAGTCTGCCTTGATTGATATCTGGTCTTTCTCCTGCTTTGTTGGTGTTCAAAGAATGTAATTATGTTTTATCTTATATCATGTCCCCACACTCTGGCTGCAGCATGCAATTTAATAACCAATGAGATGAAAAAATTTACTATCAGCTCGGAAACTGATGCAATTAGAGAAGTCGAAGAAAGGGTAAGCTGCAATGTTAGTTTCTGGGTTTCGGACCTAACTTACAATTTTCCTCACTATTTCAGTTGCATCATGTTGTTATTTGTCAGGGTGACCCAGTGGAAATTACGCATTTTATTAGAGAAGAAGTGAAGAAAGAGTTGAAGAAGTCCCTTGAGGAAGCACAGAGCTATCTTCGCTCTCTAAATGGACAAAAATTAGCACTTGTAATTGATGGGAAAAGTCTAATGCATGCATTAGACCCAAGTTTAAGAGCGACGCTTCTGAATTTGGGTTTGAATTGTCATGCGGTTGTTTGCTGTCGAGTTTCTCCTTTACAAAAAGCACAGGTAATTGACTGCTGCACAGGGGCTGATAACTTGTTTTTGGCTTTTTGCTGTCACCCTTGCTCTTTCTGTGCTGTGAAGAGATTTTACATTTGGGAGAAATTAATTTTTGGCCTAAATAGTAAGAATACTTGGATAAAATCGTCGATAAAATTTGATGATTTTTGCTTGTAGATTTTGTCAAATATCATGCATTATTTCTGGTTACAGGTCACAAGGCTAGTCAAGAAAGGTGCACATAAAATAACGTTAAGTGTTGGCGATGGAGCCAATGATGTTAGCATGATTCAAGCTGCTCATGTTGGTGTTGGCGTAAGTGGGATGGAGGGGATGCAAGCAGTGATGGCTAGTGATTTTGCCGTTGCACAGTTTCGTTTCCTTGTAGATTTACTACTTGTCCATGGCCGTTGGTCATACCTTCGAGTATGCAAGGTATCACATTTTGCAAACAGTACACTTGCATTGCTGTTTTCATTGGTTGTAACATACTTGAAAATTGATTATTGCAGGTTATTACATACTTCTTTTATAAGAATCTCACGTTCACTCTTACTCAGTTTTGGTTTACTTTCCAAACTGGGTTTTCTGGTCAGAGGTTCTATGATGACTGGTTTCAGTCATTATATAATGTGATCTTCACGGCACTGCCTGTAATTATTGTTGGACTATTTGACAAGGTAAAGCATTATTTTAATCATTGAGGAGTGCAGTGTTTTTTTTTTTTTTAATATTCCCCCTTTTTCATCCACATGTTAACTCAGGGAAACACGTACCATTTGCTTGTATTTTTTTCCCTTTTGATTTGGGTTTCTGAGTTAGAACATTATAGCTGAAACATTCTGTGTCTCACTAAAACACCGTATTTTCATGGATTGTATGTCCCTCATTAAAACACCGTATCTTCATCGTTGACATTTTGATTTGTTTTATGTGCCTTTGCCAGGATGTCAGTGCATCTCTTTCCAGGAAGTATCCTGGACTTTACATGGAAGGAATTAGGAATGTCTTCTTCAAATGGAGTGTTGTGGCAACATGGGCCCTTTTTTCGGTCTACCAGTCTTTGATATTGTTCTATTTTGTGATTTTGTCGAGCTCAAGTGCTAAAAATTCAGTAGGCAAAACATTTGGACAGTGGGATGTCAGCACAATGGCCTATACATGTGTTATAGTAACTGTCAATGTACGACTTCTTATGATATGTAATTCGATCACAAGGTGGCACTTAATTGGTGTTGGTGGAAGTATATTAGCATGGTTTATTTTTGCCTTCATATATTCAGTGGTCAGACAGGTAAATTCTCTCTCTTTGTTTGCCTCTCCATTTATGCATCTACTTATTTAAAAAAAAAAAAAACCAAAGATTATAACAATACTAGAATGGATTCTATGCATTTAGAAAATTTAAGTAGTCTTTAACCAAAACTTCTGTACATTATTTATGACTCATTTACTCATTTGAAACATTCTTACGACGGGTTGTTTGATTTACCTGCAGGAGAATATTTATTTTGTGATATATGTCCTAATGAGTACACCCTATTTCTACCTCACGCTTCTTCTTGTTCCCATTGCTGCCCTCTTGGGTGACTTCGTCTTCCAAGGGTAAGATTTTCAAGAACCACTAGCTTCTAAAATTCCATTTCTTGCGTATAAATAGAACAGGAATCAACAATCCATTTCTTGATAAGAATTGGAGATATCAGTATGCTGTCTGGTGCTGCATGAATCAATAATGCATAGACCAAAGATATCTCACACAACCTTTATTAAATATCAAAGTGTTAGTAGAAATATATGATAAGGTATTCTATCTGCTACCAACTTTTTCTCCTTTTGAATTGATTTGAGTTGATGTGGTAACAGGATTCAAAGATGGTTTTTCCCCTATGATTATCAGATTATTCAGGAAATTCACAGAGACGAACCAGATTGCGGCAACAGGACGCAGCTGCTGGAGGTGGGGACTCATCTTACACCATCAGAGGCAAGGAGCTATGCCATGTCTCAACTTCCTCGTGAGGTATCCAAGTACACAGGGTTTGCTTTTGATTCACCTTGCTATGAGTCCTTTTTCGCTTCCCAGTTCGGCGTGTATGCCCCGCATAAGGCATGGGATGTTGCTAAACGAGCTAGCAGGTTTCGAGCACCAAAGATTGGCCACAAAAAATAGTCGATTGTGATGTGAACAAGTGCATTCTCTTTCTTTAGTTTTGGTCTTCCATTGAGATGTGCATATCCAATATTTTTTAGGAGATCTCTCTTTTTCAAGATTCACCAAGCAAGAATGTCCGACCCCGTTAATATATATATATATATTCATTGAACCTGACTGGAGCCGATTCCCATACTTGAATCTCATGCCCAAGGTTAGAACTTGACCAGTGTAATGGATTGCTGGTTGTTAACTTGATATATTCCTTATCTCTAATTCCATTCTCCTCATCGTCAAAAGAATAAATTATCTGCGCCCTTGCTTAGCTGGATCCTTGCTTGACATGAGGTGGGTTTTGCCAGTCACGTTGATCTATATTATAAATGCTTAAAATAATAAAAATTAAAGATCACAAAAAGTCAGTGAATTATTTCAAGGAATTTGACATCCCTGATTTATCACAAAACATTAATCATCAATATCAATTAAGCCTTGAGACTTACTCGTAAGGTAGGTGATAGGGTGATTTCGGCCAATCCGATTAAATGCACTATTCATAAACTCATCTTAAACCAGGTGCAAATATTCTAGCCATTCAAGGGGGGAAAATGCCATGCATTTTTCATCAAGGGAAAAAAAGGTCGATTTTTGGGCAAAATTAATGGAATGCCCAGAACTTTTACTGGTTACCGTTTAATAAATTATTGAGGAGATTTTAATCAATTCTCTATGCTAATACTAGAACAAGTAGGCTTCTTAAGAGATATAGGCAACAATTTTGCCATACAAGGTGCGGAAACAAAGAATTGCACTCAGTGACACTCCTTGAAAGCAAGTGGACTGATTGGGATGACGCCAGATGGGGATACCAGAGCATCAACGTGAACGTCATAAGGAGTGACAGCTATTTTTTCATTTTCCGCTATTTGTATTGAGTATGACAGTGCAACTGCACCCAAGTAAAAGACAACAAGGATGAAGAAAATGAAGTGAATGATTAGGACCAAGAACAAGAAGCCAGCACGTTACATATTCACCTAGCAAGGGATAAACAGTAATTACCTAGAAGTGGCTGTTTCCAATTTTGCTTCTTAACAAGCTCTTTGTATTTCGTCAGGAACATGTCATAGTAACTTCCAAAATTTTAACATGCAAAGAAAAATGAGAACCATGTTATACATAAACCAAATAGACGATTGCATGGACAAATTTTGATGAGTTTTCCAATTGAGTACTTCACAAGTCCATATGTCATAAGCCACAACTAAACATATCATGGTGAACAAAGCACCTGACCAGAAACTCTCCCATATATGGTTTAACAATGGCACTCTTTTTTTTATTTTATTTTTTTTGGGAGGGGGGGATTGTTAAATATTGCCATTCTATTGGCAGTCATGATTTATATCTGATTTTCTAATTAAATCGGTAATAAGATATCGGAACTCTATTTTAAATGTTAACAAAGAGGGTAATCCTAAATTTCTCTGTTAAACCTATATGCAACTAATAAGTGTCACACAAATCAGATGCATAAACTCACCCACCACTGCGGCCCAACCGTCTTCCTGATCTATCAAATGCAAGGCCTGCCAGAATAACATGCATAGTGCAATGACAAATTTGTACCATGCTGCAAGTAGTTAAATGGTGTTATGAAGAAGGCCAAGAATTACCTGGAAGGATGATCAAGTCGACTGGGTCAGTTGCCTGCATAACTGCCAGAAATGTTAATATTCTATCAGTAGAAAACACTAATTAAACTATATTTAAAAAAATAACAACATCATAATAAAATGAGCAATGGAAGGAGGAAAAATAAGGGTAACCATATGTTATGGGGAGAACACAGGCTAAGAATTCTGGAAGTAAGGATTCCTCTGTAGTGAAATAAAAATAATATTTAGAGATAGATAGAGAGACAAACCTCTCTAATCCAAGCTTTTTAGGACCACCTCAATATTGTAAAATCAGATTGCATAATTGGTTACTATATCACTTCATTTAATTTTTTTTTATTACAATTAATATTTGTTATGCCCATTTTAAGAGCCAATAAGAAATAATCTCTGCATTGGGTATCGCCAGTCACCACAAGAGCAATATACATCTATGATGCATGAACAGCATGCCAATAGCAGCACAATTTTTATATTGAAGAATATGATTACTTATATTATGCCTAATACTGCCATTTGCATTCCAAAACTATCATCCCTATGACATTAATTTTACAAGAAGTGCATCTTCAACATATTAAAAGGAACAGTTATCAGAACAGCATTACAGATTCATTCCATACAATCAGAAATGACAATGGAAGTATTAACACATTGAATACTTTATCAGGTAAAATACTTGACAAATATTGCAATCTATAGAGTGGTTAAAAAGAAGCTTGATTGAGTACTTAATAAATAAGTGTTAATTCCAACATCTCTTATCAAGTTTAGCCAGACATGAAACATAGTATGAAAATAAGAAAATAATGAAAGGCTGTACCATCTTCACGAGGATTTCCATTGCAATCTACTAAGGTTGGCTCCAAAATGTTCATTGAGTTCAGGACCAGATCATCAATACTTGATATCCTTAGCATTCTCATGTTGCTATTTCTATCCTCTACCCGTGGCACATAAAGCTTTTTCTTGATCTGTACATGACCCTCTTCAGTTGAAAGCTAGATGTAAGAATCTCCAACATATAACAGCATATGCAAGACATGTAGTTGCCCAACAATCACTATGATGTAGGCTCAAAAGCCTGAGAGCATTAGATTGGCTTGAACAGTTGAACTTTGAAGTAAATTTCACATTTCTCATCTGCTTCTCTTAGCATGCATAAACTTGCTCCAGTAGGGAAACTGGCAAGCATAAAAACCATGCAAACCCAAATGTATCTCTAGATGAATTCTGTCGAACTTATTTCCTGCTCCAAGGGTGTTCTTAAACTTTTTATCCACTTAAAGCTCTAAAAACCTTTGTTCATTATCTGATCAAACATACATGTCTGACTTAGCAGTGTTGAAGTCAGAAGTAGAGAGCAAATGAGCATCCCGAAAACATATTGGTAGCTAATGATTGAAAATGAAACTGCAATTACTTGCTCATAAAGCACCTAACTGATTTTTTTTTTTTTGGCCAAAATAAAGCACCTAACTGATAAACCTCCTCGTTTGAATTGTAATTTTCTTGTCATTATATATTATTAATTAGCTCTAACCCATTTCTCAACGTGACCTGCCATGCCCCCCCCCTAATAGCATGAAAATAATTCAGGATTCAAGAAAGGTTATTGATTATTCATCAAAGCATATATAAGATGACTAGCAGGCCAGTCGCTTGCAAAAGATGAAATACAGAACATACCTGTCGTGGGGTTAGATAAGATTTCTGAAACAATTTTTGAGGTATCTACTTCTCGTAAGGCATTAGAACTTATATAAGCACATGTATTGCTACTGTTCTTGAACCACGGAGCTTCTAAAACAACCCTCTGAATAGCATCATCTGAAAGACAAAAAACCTTGCACAGAATGAATTGAACGCAAAAACCAAATAATACAATTCTTGTGTCATCAAATCTTCAGGAAACTGCAAGGAGCAACCTTGATACACGTCAAAAATTCATAATTACAAAGAGACCAGCATATTTGGCATAGCGCGATGATGATATATATGGAACTCCAAGTTCACATTTGTAGTCTCAGTGACATGATTACTATACATGAAAATTACAAATTCAAGTAATTATCTATTACTAATCGAACACACGTTGCGTCCCCCTATATCAATGATCAAAGAATTTCAGTCCACCTATTTTCAACGATGGTCTCCCTCTCCAAGACTCAAATTCTCTTCATTATATCAACTAAGAATAGCTCAGAGTAATTTCCAACAAGAAACACAAAAACCATAACAGCAACAACAAACTTCTTCAACCAAAATAAAATCACCAAAAAGGAAATTTGAAAAAAAAAATAAAAGAGTAAACGAGAGAGAGGAACCTTCTCGAGATCTCAGAATAGGGTCCATGTTCTTCAGTTCTCTGCGCATTTGGGTTCGGAAAGACCGCTTTGCATCAAAGATGCGGTCGAGCTGAGGATCGTAGTTGGTGCTCATGGTGCAGAAAGGGCGCAAGTTAGCAGAGGGAGTGGGCGATGCTATAGTGAGCGGAAGAGGGGAGAGAACCAACTTCGTGGCGTCATTAGTGATCATCCTAAGCTTAAGAATACTTGTCCTGAAATTACGAAGCATGCCCCCCTCTCTATCGTTCCCCTAACTTCAGCTGCTGCAGTTGCAGATAGAATATGAAAGGACCGTCGAGGCCCAGCAGACACCGTGCTCGGTACCATGTAATTTCTGCTTTATGTAATGTCTGCTTTTTGTAACACCTCAACGTCACTGCGATCTCAGTTAAAAAAAAAAAAAAAAAACACACACACACGCACACACAAAATATTGCGCATATGAACAAGACTTATATATTTTAAATTTTCTTCATTTAAAAATATAAAATATTTTTTAAAAAATTAGATGTTAAAAAATATAAAATATTTTTAATATTTTAAAATATAATTATTATCTTTTTTTAAATATTCTTGATAATGACTTTATATTTATTGTAGGGTGTTTAATAAAGATAAATATAAAAAGATAGAGTTAGTTTAAAAATAGATAATTATTTTATTGACAGGTAAAATTTAGTTAAAACTGCCTTAAATTTTTGAACAGAGGGAGTGTATTTTTATCTAATCAAATCAAAATATATAAATTTTAATATATTAAGAATATTAATAACAAAAATAATTATATAATAAATAATTTATAATAGATACTCCCTTCACTAAAAAAATATAAAGCATTTTTTAAAGAGTTAGATGTTTAAAAATATAAGGCATAATCATTGCTTTTTTAAAAGTACCCCTATTAATAATTACTTTACATTTATTATAGGATATTTAATAAGAATAGATCTGAAAAGATAGGATTAGTTTAAAAGTAGGCAACAACTTTATTGTGAGATAAGATTCAGTTAAAAATGTGTTATATCTTTAAATGAAGGGAGTACACATATCTTAATTTAATTAAAAACAAGTGCATAAAATATATAAAGTTAAGTATATAAGTTTTTTTTCATATATATATATATATATATAAACATACAGATGTAATTGCTTCTATTAAAATAATATCCATGCAATCAAAATATATATTCCCTTTAATAAAAAATGTAAGGCATTTTTAACTGAATCTTACCCCCAATAAAATAGTTACATACTTTTAAACTAACCTTATCTTTTTATAGTTGCCCCTATTAAACACTCTACAATAAATATAAAGTTATTATTAATAGAAGCACTTTTGAAAAAAAACAATGATTATATTTTAAAAGATTAAAAATACCTTATATTTTTTAACATCCAACTCCTTAAAAACTATTTTACATTTTTTAATAGAGGGAGTACTTTTTGTCGATAATATAAGGCCAAGTTTAAAATTTTTTTAATATAAAGTTAGAATAATTAATTTTTTAAAAAATATAAGGCATTTTTAACTGAATCTTACCCTCAATAAAATAGTTACATACTTTTAAACTAACCTTATCTTTTTATAGTTACCCCTATTAAACACTCTACAATAAATATAAAGTTATTATTAATAGAAGCACTTTTGAAAAAAAACAATGATTATACTTTAAAAGATTAAAAATACCTTATATTTTTTTTAACATCCAACTCCTTAAAAACTATTTTACATTTTTTAATAGAGGGAGTACTTTTTATCTATAATATAAGGCCAAGTTTAAAATTTTTTTAATATAAAGTTAGAATAATTAATTTTTTAATTTTTTATTATATATTTATTATCATTTGAATTTCTGAATAATAATTTATTATAGTTATTAATTAAAAAAAATAAAATTGAAAAGTTGCATATTTTGTTGACAATTTTAAATATATAAGTTTCATACTCTTTTTATTAAAAAAATATAAAGTATTTTTAATTAAGTTTCACTTTCAATAAAGTAATTACTTATCTTTAAATTAATCATATCTTTTCATATTTATCCCTATTTAATAAAATATTTCATCCTAAAAAAATATAAAGTGATTTATTCAATAGGGATGCTTTTAAAAAAATAATGATCATATCTTAAAAAATTAAAAATATTTTATATTTTTTAACGAAGAAAGTTCGTGTCAAGTTGATTAATTTTATCTTATATTTCAAAGAATATATATATATATATATATATATCACAAACATGAATAAAATGCAAAGGTCATGATACAATCTATGAATAACATCCTATAGTGCAGAAATTGAAATCTTCATGTAACTCAAAGAGTAAGGAAAGAAAAATAGCCAAGTAAAAAAACACAACTCAAACGAGCCAAAACTTTTTGAAATATCCAAATGTCTATGCTCAGCCCGAATTTATTCAGACTTCAAATTACCCAAATACCCCACATTTTTATCTTTGAAATTACTTTTAATTTAATTTTTTATTTTAAAATTTTTTATTTTTATTTTATACAAATATAAATATATTTTTTGGACACCTATATGATGTATAAAACTCAATTTAAAAAAATATGAGAGTCTTAAAATTTAAAAATTAATACTAAAATAAATTTTAAATATTATTTTGAGACATTTTATAAATTAAAAATAATAACAATACAAATATTTTTTAAAAAAATATCTATAATAATGAACTCAAATATAGGATATTTTAGTATAAGATAACTTGAAACTAAAAAAATTAATTAATATTTATTATATGTTATATATTTTTAAAAAATATTTTTTTCATTTTGGTATTTAAGCCAAACACAAACCTGATCGGACTTTATTTTTTTGGCTCTGTGTAGGTTGGTCTGAATAGGACTAAATATTAAAAAACTATTATTTTATTAAGATCAGTATTAAATGTTTTTTGAATTTATTTAAACTGACTCTTGACTTAAATTATTGATTCTAATTGAAGTGGACCAGGTGTTCATGGCTGCTCTCCCATCGTTGGCTCTAATTTTTGAGAGTATTGTTTGAGGGAGGAGGATGAGATGTTTCACACACGTAGTTGTACAAGACTTATTAAAATCATTGACTTACTTGAAAGCATAAGATGATGACACGTGTGGACACATATTGGGTGCGCTCCTAGTTGCTACACACATTGAATTCAAATCCAATAATTATCAAACGTAATCAAGCTCTGCACTTGATCTCTACTAAAATTTTGGCAATTATGAGCCACACTCTTACAAGGAAAAGAATTGCGTATTGGGTCTCAATTAACAGCACAAGTAGGGGAAGACAAATCCATTGATCACTTGCATTGTGGCTTGCGACTTCTGCTTCGACTGATCACATGACTCATGTCTCATAATAGTGTGATTGATTTATTTGTCCCAAATGAATGAAGATGCATTGAAATAAAAATAATGTCCTACGGACTAGGAAATTCCGATAAATCTTCTTTTATATTCATAAATAATAAGTTACATTTTTCGTAAAAACCAATTTAGCCGAACTAAATATCTACATGGGGAACAAAAATTTGGCTCAAAATAATATTTGTGCTCATCAAGAATTGTCTTTACATTACTTCAATTTGATTGTTAAGTTATGTGACTGTTAATTATAAAAATAATCCTTTTACATATTTTTAGTTTCGAATTTTAACTTATTTTGTTTTTTTTCTCAAAGTTATATATTTTTTAATTTATAATATATTTCAATGATTAAATTTTATTTTTTAAAAACCTACTATTTAGTGTATATAGTTCTAGTTCTAGAATATTAGTCTTATAGGAAATCAGTATAATTTGTTTTAAGCAAAAATTAATCATTTGATTCATTTTAACTTTACTATAATTCACTTCCTAAATTTAAACTTGTTATAATTTAATTCATGAATTTTGATTTGGTAAATCTCAATTCCTATAATTTTACTAATTTAAAATCTTAGTCCCTGTATTTTAAAAAATTAAATTATAAAATTAAAAGTTTTAGCGATTTAAAATATCAGTTCATAAATTTTAAAATAATTTTAATTTTTATAATTTTATTTTAAAATATAAGGATTAATTTACATTGAATTAAAGTTCAGGGACTATATTATAATTGAATTAAAATTATAATAACTAAGTTATAATAAATTAAAATTTAAATATTGAGTTATAATTAAATTAAAATTACATGAATCAAATAATTAATTTTTTTCTTATTTTAATCATTGATATTGATTTTTATGCAAGCACTTTAATTTTAATTAAGATACCCCTATAATGCTAAATATTAAAGGCTGGTACAGCTGTTGGTCCTTCAAGCTTGTCTCAATTATCAATTTATTTCTCAAATTTAATTTTTATTGATTAAGTATTTTAAATTTATTTCAGTTATTAATTTAGTCCGTACTACAAAAAAGAGGCAACATTGTTAAAATTTGATTGCATTAACAAAAAAATATTGATGGTAGCCATACAAATTAATAAAATGATTTAAATGTTAATTTGCTTTTGTTTAGCACTTTAATTTGATTTAAATGATTATATGTGTGCATGTCAAGCCATCAATATACTTTATACATTAAATTATTTTAAAAGTCAATTTATATAATAAAACTTAAAAAATTTACATAATAATTTAAAAAAATATAAAAAAATTAAATTGATAAAAATTAAATTTAAAAGACTAAATTAATAACTTCAAATATAAGTGTGTGTGTGTGTGTGAATATTAAAAGTTACACTATCATCCCACGTATTATTGACAGGGCAAGCAGCTTTTTAGATTTAATAATGTAACATATAGAAAGTGAAAATACACAAAGCTGCCAAGGCGAACTTTATAGCAATAATCACCACTGAATATGTTCTACGAGAGATTTTTTACCATAAACAAAGCTATCAATTCCAGCTTTAGTTCAAAGTAATCATCATTGAATATGTCCGAGTTCTTAGTATTCACATCACTCATGTAGCATTTAGGTCCATATAATGGTTCGTGTAAGAACTACATCTCTCATCTTAATTAGCAATTCATTATTACCACTGGTTCTCTATCTCTTTTGTTTGGATCTATATATATGTGTCCATGAATGTATCCCAAACTATGTCGCAAATAAGACTGAAGATAAGGTATAAATTAGTGTGATCAAATATGAATAAAAGGGGGCATAAGTTGGTATAAAGTCTGTGCAACTCCATTAAGTATCAACCTCATTTAAAAATTGGGTAAAGGGACAATTCCACTCATAGACTATAAATTCAGCATTTGGGATCTCAATTTGTGTGTGTGTAATTTTGTCTCTCAATATTTAAAAATGTCAT